ACACGCATTCAAATGTTGATAATACACATTGATATCATTCCCTTTGAGAAGAGGAAGAAGAAAATAATATCCCCATGCCCCCTAAGTATCATGTAACTTTAAGCATGATATAAAAGGGTGTTATATATACAAGTATGTACTCCATACAAGATCAATTAATAATGCCATCCAAACTAGCCTCCTTTCTTTCTCTACTCTCTTCTAAACTTTAGCCTCCATTGTAAATTTTAAAAGGGCTTCCATCAGATTTCACCGGTGGAAAGCCCCAATCGTTGTTTCTTTTAAGTTTTTTTAATTCTTAATTTATAATAATGTATCCCTCGAAAGAAAGGGTTTATCTCCTTCGAAAGACAAGGTTTTCGATCTCCTTCGAAAGAAAAGGTTTTTCGAACTCATTCGAAAGACAAGGTGTTATTTACGTTTGATAGGGTCTCAAGTTTTACGAGGCTACGATTGATTGTTGCTCGAATTCGGGTTACAAAATCATCACAGGAAATTTCTTCCTCACAAAATATTAAAGCGTCAACGGGTCCACTCAAAAAGTTGTATGAGACAATGAATCGAAAATATGTCGAATTGTTATATCTATGTATTTGGATTCTTAGCACTTCTATGATTAATTCTTATTTGATTTTGTTAAATTTGTTTTCATTATCGTTATTTATCAATTGTAGATGTCGTATGACTTAAATTAATGAAATTTAGTGTCCTTTTGTACTTCTTTAAAAAAAAAATAGTAATGCCATCCAGACATCCAAATGGACGGAGGAAGGGGTGTTATGTTGTAACTCATGATGATGGTAAAGGTTGCTGGGTGAAGAGGAGTTTATTTGGTGGTTTAGCGGTGAGATAATGGTAGAAGGAATTTGAGCAAGCATATAGCTAGTTACGTACTTGTATAATAGATGATGAGATTGAAATAACAAATAACACAAAAGAAAATCAAGGTGTTTGGGTCCAATTTACCCTAATTAGGCTAGTCCACAAATGATTCAATTACAAATACCAAAGAAGGTTTAACTCTCCTAAAGCATGCCAAGTCAGTAAAAGGATCAGTTAACATGGCAAGCCCATTTGACTTCAAGGCCTAATCTATCTATTTGAGCAAGGTATAAAAGCCTTGACTTCCCTCTTTTTACATTCATTCACTTCAAGCCTCAAGGAATTAATTCTCTTGCATAGCCTTCTCTCTCTAGAAACATTGTACTGACTTCGACATCGGAGGGGCCTTCCTCGGCACAACCCCTGAGGCCAGTTTACGTGTGTTTGCTGTGTAGGAAACCCTCGTCCCAGTCATCACTTGGGCCGAGTCCAGTCTTCAGCCCCACAAGAAAGGTCCAGACGAAAGACCCATTGTTTTCACCCGAAACAATTTGGCGCCGTCTGTGGGATTGACATTCAAAAACAAGCCAAAAATCCATCATCTTAGTAACATGACTAAGAGCGGAAAGAGCACCAAAAAGAATGGCCCTTCTTCCTCGAAGAAAGGCCCAATTCCATCTTCACCCTCAAAGAAGGGTCCACTTTCTTCATCATCTTCCGAAGCTACCTCGTCAGGGAATGCTGCCTCGGACAGATCACCTCACAACACAGTTCAGCCGTCAAGTTCGCGTCGGCCGAGCCAGTCAATCGCTAGGGGTCCAACTCCTAGCCGCCATTCCCAGTCCCGTCCAAGGGGAACACCTCAAAAGGGTCCCTCTACGGAGGTAATGGCAAGGGCCCTCGCTACCTTCACGGACTTCATGAAGGCTCAAAGCAACCGAGCAGCTCCCACCTCCTGCTCCTTCGATGCACACTGGCACTTATGAATAGCCGAGAATCCTGAGAAGGAGAATCGATGAAGGAGAGGGAGAATGTGTTCTATCCCACAGGGAACTCGAAGAAGATTGGGAGGAGGACACCTGGAGAACTGAACGGGAAAGGAAAAGAAACCCCCAGTTCTTCGAGGAGTCCGAAGCCCGAAGCTTCAAAAGCAGCAATACCGCTTCCACGCGGCTAGAGCCTGCTCGCCGAAACGTCCACGAGCGTATTAGCCCAAAAGCTAGCCGTTTTCATGCTGCGAAACGGACTGCAAACTGGCCAATTCCTTAACTTCATGGTCATGCACACCCCGCAGACCTTGGAGGAAGCCCTCGACCCTTCGATTAAATACATCCGAGCTGAGGAATAATGGAACAAGACCAAGTTCCCAATCTCAAACTAGGACTGGTAAGGCAAAAGGACAACCAAAGGCTAGAGCCAGAGGAAATGGAAGGCAAAAGCCTTAGAATCATCCTCAACAGCTGAGTCGAAGAAAGAAAAAACCCCATTCGTAGGGAAATACGAATCATACGCTCCTCTTGCTCTTCCGCATGCTAAAATCTATAGCATAACGAAGAATGAAGAGAAGTGGAAAAAGCCGAGGCCACTTCCATCGTGGCATCAAAACAAAAATAAAGACCGATGGTGTGAGTTCCATGAGTCTCCTGGACATCACACTGAGGACTATATCCAGCTAAGAGATCAGATCGAGGATATGGTCCGAAAGGGGTATCTGAAAAATATCTCGCGAACCGCTGTGAAGAGAAGAAAGCTGAGCAAGACTCTCGGCAATAGCTGGATTTTAGCCGGAAGAGGGACAAGACGCATGATAAGGAGAATCCTGACATCCTTGTCATCTCCGAGGGGACGAGCTCGCATAATGCTCGAAAGTGCCACTTGAGGGGTTTGACCCATCAAGTCTACCACGCCTCTATCCGAGGTCCACAGTGTCCGGTGCAGAACATTACGTTCACAGTCGAAGACTGCCAGGGGGTGGCATACCCCCATGATGACCCGCTGGTAATCATCACGTAGATAACAAACACTACTAGAAATAGGCTTATTTTCGAGGGAATGCTTCCGACATAATTTGATTCCCTCGTAAAATTCAAAATTTCCGAGGGAAATTGACTTTGTAGGAATAATCCGTCGGAAAAATGCCTTACCGACGGAATTTTCCCTCGAAAAATTTCCGACGGATTTTAGATCCCTCGGAATTTGTCAGTTACGACGGAATATTCCCTCAGAGATTGTTCCGACAGAAATTATTCCCTCGGAAATCACACGTTCCGCCGGAAAAATCCGTCAGAACCTGTGATTTCCGAGGGATTACTTTCCGTTGGAAAGAGAGGAAAATTAAAAAAAACACATTTCTGAATCTGTACAGAACAGAGAAGAAAAAAAACGAGAGGAAGAGAGAGAAGGCGATTCACAGGAAGAGGAAGAGGAAGAGAGAGAAAGGGATAAGGAGAAAGAGGAAGAGAGAGAAAGGGGCACCCCAGACATAGGAAGAGAGAGGAAGAGGAAGAGAGAGAAAGGGAGAAGGAGGAAGAGGAAGAGAGAGAAAGGGAGAAGAAGAAAGAGGAAGAGAGAGAAAGGGGCACGCCCCCCAGCCGCCGCCGCCACCACGCCCTCCTCCGCTGTTGCACCGCCGCCGGTAAGTGTCTTTCAATTTTTATTTTTTATTTTATTTTATTTTTTCCTGAAAACCTTAACCACCACCTTTCACCTAGGGTGTACGGGAGTTTTCACCTAGGGCATAACTCGCCGGCGGGTCTGCAACCACCACGCCTTGCCGCCGCCGCCAGCAGGTAGTTTCCGTTTGCTTTCTCTGTTTAATTTTTTTTTTTTTTTTTGTTTTTTTTTTAAGTTAAGTACACATATGTTATTATTATTTTTTATACAAAATGCAAGCATAAACTTAAAAGCTTAAATCATAAATGTAGTTTATGCTTTTGTTTGGTGTTAATTTTTTGTTTGAAATTTGAATATTTGTAGGTTTTGTGTATTGAATTGTTTATTTGGAAATTACAAACTCAGATCTACAGGTTAGACATTATTTTAAAGCTAAATTTATAAATTTAGTTTATACTTGGCATGTTAAATCCTAATGGTGTGTAGATATATGTTAGTTTATTATTGTTTTTAGTTATTGTATTTACAATTTGTTATATTTATATTTGAAATGAATGTGTTTGTGTTATAATATGTTAGATTAGTTTAGTTAATTTAAGTATAGTTTTTAATTACTTTATTATAACACGTTACTTTAGTTTGGTATAGTTTAGGGTAATATGTTAGTTTAGTTTAGTTGTATTATAATAGGTTAGTTTAGTTTGGTTTAGTTTAATATAATAATGTATGTTGGTTTAGTTTAGTTTAGCTTAATATGATGTATATTAGCTTACTTTATTTTAATATAATGTTGTTTAGTTTTGTTTAATTTATTATAATGTAGGTTGGTTTGGTTTAGTTTAATATGATGTATGTTACATTACTTTAGTTTAATATAATGTAGCTTAGTTTAGTTTAATTTATATAATGTATCTTATTTTGGTTTAATATAATGATATTTTAGTGTAGGTTGGTTTTGTTTGATTGGTTTATTTGAATATTATGATATTATGATATGTTAGTTTTCTTTAGATAAATTATGATATATTTGTTAGTTTAATGTAATGTAAGTTAGTTTATATATATATATATATATATATATATATATATATATATATATATATATAAATCATTTGCATAATCATATGCCTAGATACCCGTTCAAGGCATACACATTAGGAGTATGCCTTGAATAGTCCCCGGTTGGGACTGTCCTTGTACGCTTATTCTCACTTAAGTGGTGAATGTAAGCTTTGTTTTTTATTCTAGGGAAAATCCTGCCTTTTCATGCATTTCTCTACCGTGTTCTCTGGGTACATATGTAGGTGTGTTTAATCGCCTACATTGTGTACTTGGAGAACTGTAGGGAAATGGTGGCGGATTTTCCATAGAATTGAAAACCTGAGTTACATTCACTAGTGAGAAAAAACGTACAAGGATGGGTTAGGTTGGAGTGATAAGGACCCTTTGGAAGCATTTCAAATATCATTTGCATTTCCATAACGCTTTGGTGGATAATGACTGCGAAATACGGTTTATGACTAATGTGATTGTACATATACGTGAGCTGTGTAGAAGTTGTAATCATGAAACGAAGAGAACGTAGCTGGATTTATGAAAGGATGATTGGGCAAAGTATTAATCCAGAGTTCGTGGAAGGGGTTGATGAATTCATTCAGTACGTCACAGATCATCCCGAGAGTAGTAACCCGAATGAAGTTAGGTGTCCATGTGTTAAATGTAAGAATAAACGCCTTTGGGATGCAGATACGGTTAAAATACATCTGTATCGCAAGGGTTTCATACCAAACTACTATGTGTGGATGTGTCAGGGGGAAGGGTATCCGGGAATTCCTGAACGGCGACCCAATGAATATCGTGACATGGTTTTCAACACTTTTGGTCATAGTGAAGATCAGGGGCACTCAGATCAGGCTAGTGTTTCATCAGAGGAGGAGCCTAATGCAACTGCTAAGCATTTTCTGGATTTGTTGAAGGCTTCTAAAAGTCCATTATACGAAGGGAGTTCTTTGTCTGTGTTAGAGATGGCCGCTAGAATCACTAGTCTAAAATGTGAGTATAATTTGCCTCACAGATGTGTTGATGGGTTTGCTTCTTTGCTAAGTGAGGTGATTCCGAACAACAGCCATATGACCGACACTTTCTACGAGGTGAAGAAGATTGTGAAGGGATTGGAACTGTCCCATCAAAAGATTCATGCATGCCCGAAAGGGTGTATGTTGTTTTGGAAGGTTGATGCTCAATTGTTTGCATGCAGGGTGTGTGGCAGCGACCGATACAAGCAGACTTCCAAAGGTAGCCTAGTGCCTTTAAATGTTCTATTTTATTTCCCGATCACACCCAGGTTGCAAAGACTGTTTGCAACGAAGAACATTTTGGAGGAAATGACATGGCATTTGAAAAATCCCAGAGTTCAAGGCACAATGGCACACCCTAGTGACAACGTATCTTGGAAGCACCTCGATTGTCGGTTTCCAGAGTTTGCTTCTGAGCCTCGTAATGTAAGACTTGGCTTGTGTACAGATGGTTTTGCTCCTCATGGTAAGTTTGGGGGTCAATATTCTTGTTGGCCTGTCATTTTGACCCCTTATAACTTGCCTCCCTCAATGTGCATTGATTAGGGGGTTTTTATCCACCAATCACCGTCTGACAAGTGGACCAACCAGGTTCCGCCACGTGTCCTTCACGAAGGCCAACAGGAGCTTGCCACGTGTCAGTCACAGATACGTCCTCCACGGACCACTTAAGACACGCCACGTGTCCACCCATGCCAAGTGGGACAACCGGCCATCAAGGCCCAATTCAGTCTAGAGGCCCGATCAGCCCTAGGTTTACCTTAAACCTAGAGAGTTGCACGCTTCCCAAGGCTATAAATACTCGATTAATTCTCATTAATCAAACAACCGATTAATTAAGAGATCAAGCAGAGAAGAACAGACTTATTAACAACCGGCTAATCTCGCTAACAACGCAGATTACCAACACTAAGCACTCTCACCTAGAGAGATCTGATTACTTTAATTTCTGTATTGATTACTCCTTAATCAGGTACTAACTTGACCGTTGGAGGCGGAGCTCTCAGGAGTCTCCGTTATTTTGCAGGTACAGGCGTCCGGTTCCAGTCTCGGAATTGTAACTCTCCCGCAGGACATCAGAAAACCCCGAAACATTTGGCGCCATCTGTGGGGAGAGTACTTCAGAGATGGCATCCAAGTCTGTACCGACTCCAGAAGAGAGGCGTCCCCTAGACGACCCTCAAGTTCAGTCGGACCATGATACCGAAAGTGAATTTGGAGTTGAAACTCATACAGCTCCAGACGGGACCCTAAGGGCCCGCCGTACCCGTCATACTGAAATAAGGGAACGGGAGTATCTTCAAACAGGAAGCGAGCCAGCAGGCGCATCGCTTGCTCGGCAACAGCCGACTGATGGGTCTGCTCCCATCACAAGGAACGAACTCATGACCTTCATGAGGGGCTTCAAGGGAGAGATCCAAGAGTTGATCAACAAAAAACCGCCTGCTTCAGTCAAAGAGCAGTCGGCCAAAAAACCTTCCACTTCACTGAAGAGGAAGCCAGTTCAAGGGCGAGAGGCGACTCCCCATCCTAAATCTAAGAAGCGGGAGCCGTCTGCTCTTGATTTCACAAAACTCCGTTATCCTACGGGAAATAGGAAACCGGTTCGTCATATTCAGGCGGACGGGTCAAAGCAAACGTTCACAGATGCTCGGCACCTGCTAGAGCAGAAGAAGAGTGACCGATTATCAGAGTCGGCTTCTACTTCAAATTTTCAGGACAGTTTGCGAAATGCCTCTATGAGGCCAACTCAGTCGTACCATGAGAGTCAGTCAGGCGGCACCTCCCGTCAGTCCGGCTTTCATAGTGCACAGGCGGTACTAAACTTGCCATTTGTGCCGCAACAACAATATTTTATGCAGCCACCTCCATTTGGTGGACCTGCAGCAAAAAACGTCCAACCTATGGACTGGCAGCTACGGCTGCTTAGACTTGGCGAACAGCCGTCGGCCTTCTCCAAGGAAATTACTGAAGCCGCTCAGCCGGCCAAAGTAAAAAATATTTTAGTAGGCGCCTATGATGGCACTACTAACCCGGAAGACCATCTGATGGCATTCACCAACCTGATGTACCTTCAAGGGTTGGATGATCCCACCTGGTGCAAGTGTTTCCCAGCGACTCTAAAGGGAATTGCACAGCAATGGTTCGGTAACCTGCCGACTGGTTGTGTAAACAGCTTCAGGACGCTTGCTTACTTATTTGCCTCCAACTTCGCAATGAACATCCCTGCGAAGAAAACGACCCTTGATTTGGGAACAATTCAGCAGGGTGAAAAGGAGGGGCTTCGTTCCTACATCAGGCGGTTCAACCTGATGAGAATACAGATTCAAGGGTTACCGGATGAGGTAGCTTATACTGACTTTTTTAGAGGTCTCAAAGACGGGTCTACCTTCAAATTTGATTTAGTTCGAAAAAGGGTGGCGACTCTTCAAGAGGCCTTGATTGAAGCAGAAGCCTATATACAGGCGACTGATCTGTGTACGATGAAACAATCGGACGGGAAGAGGTTCGACAATAGAGAGGGACGACAGAAACAGTCGTCCAACAAAGATGAAAAAAGAAAAGGGGTCTGGGCGGCTGATTCCTCTAAACAGCCGGCCCAGAAAAAGAAAAAAGAATTCAAACCATACTCCCCAAAATATGTGTTTAACAAGGATAACCAGTTTATCCTAAAAGAAATAAAGGGACGACTCTCAATTGAGAAGCCGCTCCCCATGAAGGGTTCTGCGAGCAACCGGAACCAAGACAAAATCTGTGCTTATCATGATGACATTGGTCATCACACCAATGACTGCATCAGTCTCATGCGGTACCTAGACCGCTTGGCTGATCAAGGTGATCTTGACACTTATGTCAAGAAATCTGCGGGAAACACTTCCTCAAAAAAGCAGTCGGCCAAAAAGAATCAGCAGGCCGACAGTTCTGATACAGATGATGCAGTCGTCTACACCATTGCAGGCGGCTTCTCAGGAGGCGGCCCCACTATTAGGGGCAACAAAGATAATATAAGGCGGTTAGATGTAAATTCCGTTCACCAAGAACGACCGTCCAAATATACATTTCCTGAGATTGTCATCACTGAAGAGGATCTAGGAGGAATAAGGGGGCCGCATGACGACCCTCTCGTTATTGAATGTAAAGTGGCCAACCAGAGAGTTGGTCGAATCCTCATAGATACCGGGAGCTCTTCAGATCTCATCAGCAGCAAATGTCTGTCAAAACTGAAATATCAGACGGACTGCATACATCCGGCCTCCCACCCTTTAATAGGGTTTGGAGGAGGAGTCGTCCACCCACTGGGACGAGTAGATCTACCCATCCGCCTGGGCGAAAAAGGGGAAGGACGACACATGGTAGTCCGGTTCCTAGTGGTAGAGGAACTCTCTGCCTACAACATGATTCTGGGTCGACCAACCCTGAATAATTCCAAGGCTGTTATAATCCCGTCACTTATGCTGCTTAAGTTTGAAAGGGACAATGGAACAGTCGGCTCCCTTAGGGGAGATCAGAGGATGGCCCGAGAGTGCTATCTCTCGGATGTCAAGCCCACTGTTATGGCCACTGGGTCAAGTGGAGAAAAAACAGACCTTGACAATGTCAAGGAAAGTGCGCCTGTTCAAGAAACAGGCGACAAAAAGAGAAAGGCACTCCAGACTGAGTCCGCAAGAAAAGCAAGAAAATAGCAATCATTGGCAGAGGACCGGCCGGATGAGTTCCGCCCTCAGCCGGCTGGTGAACATGTGGACCTGATATTAGACGACTCCCATCCTGACCGAACAGTCAAAGTAGGGACGACTGCTCTGAGAAACCTTGGTGACGACTTTCACAACCTGTTGAAAGAATACAAGGACATCTTTGCATTTGAAGTCCATGAAATGCCAGGCATTAGTCCTGATCTGGCGGTACACAAACTCGCTGTGGATCCGAAAAAGAAGCCGGTACGACAAAAGAAACGGAACCATGGTGAAGAAAGAGGTCAGGCGGCAGCCGCCGAAGTCAAAAAATTACTTGATGCAGGGTTCATTCGGCAATGTTACTTCCCAGATTGGGTTGCAAATGTGGTACTTGTTAAAAAGCCGAATGGCACCTGGCGAATGTGTGTAGACTACACAGATTTGAACAAGGCGTGCCCCAAAGAAAGTTACCCTCTGCCTAAAATTGATAACCTGGTCGACTCAACAGCCGGCCATGCCTTGATGAGTTTTATGGACGCCTATTCTGGTTTTCATCAAATTCCTTTGTGGAAGAAAGATCAGGAGAAGACGGCCTTCGTCACTGATCAGGGATTATACTGTTACACGGTCATGCCGTTTGGTCTTAAGAATGCCCCGGCTACCTTCCAACGAATGATAAACACAGTGTTCTTTGATCAGATTGGGAGAAACGTCGAGGCATACATTGATGATATGATTGTCAAGACTAAACTTCAGAAAGATCATCTGACGGACCTCCGAGAAACTTTCGCCACACTCAGGCGGCACCATGTCATGCTCAATCCCAAGAAATGTGTATTTGGAGTTGAGTCTGGGAAATTTCTCGGATTCCTTATCAACCAGAGAGGAATAGAGGCGAACCCCGAGAAGGTACAGGCGGTCATTGACATGCAGTCGCCTCGTACCGTTCGAGAGGTTCAGAAGTTAACAGGTTGTCTGGCGGCCTTGGGAAGATTTCTAAGCCGATCAGGCGACAAATGCCTATACTTTTTCCAGGCAATTAAGAAAAAGGCAAGGTTTGAATGGGGGCCGGATGCTGAGGCCGCCTTCCAGAAATTAAAGGTTCACTTGCATTCCTTGCCGAGGCTGGTCAGCCCTTTTCCCAAAGAAAATCTGTACATGTACCTGGCCGTCTCTGATCATGCGTTAAGCGCGGTGCTCCTTGCTGAAAGGGACGGCTGTCAACTTCCGGTCTACTTTGTCAGTCACGTACTGAAAAATGCCGAGTTGAGGTATCCCCTAGTGGAGAAATTTGGTCTTGCACTCTTCATGGCTGTTAAAAAATTGAAGCCCTACTTTCTGGCACATGCAGTCGTCGTGTATACCGACCAACCGATCAAGCGGCCCCTTACCACCATGGAGTCCTCCGGACGAATGATCAAATGGGCCATAGAAATGCAGAGTCTCGAAGTTACTTTCGAGCCTAGAAAAGCAGTGAAGGGGCAAGCCTTTGCTGACTTTATTGTAGAGATGACCCGTCCTCCTGACTCTCAAGTTCCAGACCAAGTCTGGAAGGTATATGTGGACGGAAGCTCTACTTCAAACGGTTGTGGAGCAGGCGTCGTATGTCAATCTCCAGAGGGCGACAGGTTCGAGTATGCTCTACGCTTCAGTTTCCAGGCTTCAAACAATGAGGCAGAATATGAAGCTTTACTAGCCGGGATCCGCATGTGTAAGGCGGCAGGGGCAAGGAAAATAGACGCCTGTTCTGATTCACAACTGATAGTGAGTCAGTACAATGGCGAATACGAAGCAACCCATCCGGCCATGATCAAGTATTTACAGGCGGTCCGACAAGCAGTCGGCTCCCTTGAGGATTTCCATCTGATCCAA